ACAAGTGCATGAGCATCTACTGATAAGGAAAATAAAATACAACATCTGTCCGAAATACAATGGACAGAAAATAAATACAATGTATTGAAGAGGGCTATACTAGCTGCGGGCCGCCTCGAATAGTGCAACTCACCTAGCCCCAAATCATCCGCGCTGCTACGCCCAGTGGGCTGCTAGAAATAAATATACATGTGCAACAAAAATGCACAGAAGTGTAGTATGAGTACGTAAACAACGTGTACTCAATAAGTATCCCGTCTAATCTCGAAGAAGTAGAGACGAGATGGTCAACTTCGACACTTACTAGAGGTCAATTGACAATATACTGAGAATGTGAGGAAATCATGGATTTATATAGCAGTCCTAATTCACGAAGCCAGAAAAAACAGGTAAACATCTTCAACAAATAATCAGGGATTTTCAAAGTTTACTCTTTATTATCTTCTCAATTTATATCAAGCCACGAAGGGCACATTTCACATTTAAAATTCTCAAGCAACAATATAACATGCGCAAATCACACCGAGGCGACGGCCCGATCCAACAGAAATAAACTGTGCACTTGTCGAGGGTCGACGGTGCGCCTGTAGATGCATCTATTTAATCTGCCGAGGCGTTCGGCCCGTTCCACAAATAAACACATACCCTGCTCACGAATCATGCATGCGACGCAGGTACGCATAGAGATACATGCTCAATCAGTCAATTAAGGACTTATCGGGAGTATTTATCCAAATAAAACAATTTCTCTTTTTAACAATTTAGGAAAAATGATGTTTAATCTCCTTTTAAATTCATTTACTAATCCAAGGTGATTTAAGCAATTCAAGCTATCAATGGGTTCATAAATAATCCAAGTATAACATGCTGTGGGTCCTAACTACCCGGATAATATCATAATAGTAGCTACGCACGGACTCTCGTCACCTCGTGCGTACGTAGCCCCCGCAATTAGGAGCACACAATCAATTATTTCACCTATGGAGACAATTCCCTCTTACAAGGTTAGAAAGGAGACTCACCTCGCTCCGAAGGTCCATAACCGGCATTCCACGCCCTTCCGAAGACTCTAGTTGATGCACCACGCTCCAAAACTAGACAACGGTTAAGCAAATCCATTAATATATACTCAATTAATCATTACAATCTAATTTATGGAAGTTCCTAACTCCGATCGAAAAGTTGCCCAAAACGCCCTCGGGCCCACGTGCCCGAAATTCGAAATTTTTCGAAGATAAAGATTACCCATGACCCTAGGAACTCAAATATATAATTTTTACTAAATTCCATACTCAAAATAGTGGCTAAATTCCAACAATATAATTTTTTAGGTTTTCCACCAAAACCTCACTCTTTCTACAATTTTTCCAAGTCTAAATCCATAAATAAACCTTGTATTTAACCAAAGCTATCATAATTTACTTACCTCATGACAAGTGACGAAAATGGCACCTCAAACCTGCTCCCCATCGACTCCAATGGAAGAAAAATGGGGTTGAAATGAACTCAACCCCGAACTTAAAAGACCTCACTGCCTCAGCTGTTTCCGCACCTGCAGTTCCTTGACCGCTTCTGCGGTTCCGCAGGTGCGGTTAAAATGCCGCATCTGCGGTCTTCCCTGAGCCACCCCTTTCTCGCTTCTGCGACTTGCCACCCGCAGATGCGGTCCCGCTTCTGCGGAACACTGACCGCATCTGCGGTCCTCTCCAAGATACTCCCATCCGCTTCTGCGGAACTTTGACCGCATCTGCGGTCCTCAAGCCTTAGACCAAAACCCGCTTCTGCGGCGCCCTTTCCGCTTCTGCGGTGCCGCTTCTGCGGTCAACCCACCGCAGAAGCGAAAATACCAGCAACCAGATTCCTTCAGCTGTCCAAAAATCCAAATTTCGATCCGTTAACCACCCGGAATCCACCCGAGGCCCCCGGGACCCCAACCAAACATACCAACCAATCCTAAAACACATTACAGACTTGCTCGAGGCCTCAAATCACATCAAACAACGCTAAAATCATGAATCGACCTCCAATCCAAACTCAATGAACTTCAAAAATTCAAACTTCTATTTCCGTTGTTTAAACCTATCAAATCACGTCCGATTGACCTCAAATTTTGCGCACAAGTCATATTCGACATTACGGACCTACTCCAACTTTCGGAATTGGATCCGACCCCGATATCAAAAAGTCCACCTCCGGTCAAACTTCTCAAAGACCTTCAAATTTCTATCTTTAGCCAAATGGTTCCAAAATGACCCACGGACCTCCGAATTCACTTCCGATCGCGCCCCCAACTCCAGAATCACCATACGGAACTATTCACAGTCTCGGAATCCCAAACAGACATCGATAACCCTGAAATGCACTTCAAGCCAAACTCATGAAATTTCTTCTAAAATGCTAACTTCCACAATAGGCGCCAAAACGCTCCCGGGTTATCCGAAACCCGAACCGGGCTTACGCCCAAGTCCGAAATCATCATACGAACCTGCTGGAACCTTCAGATCCCGATTCTGAGGTCGTTTACTCAAAAATCCAATCCTAGTTCATTCTTCCAACTTTAAGCTTCCGAAATGAGAATTCTCTTTCCAAATCAACTCTGGACTTCTCGAAATTCAATTCCGACCACGCGCACAAGTCCTAATACCTGAAATAAAGCTGCTCACGGCCTCAAGCTGCTGAACGGAGTGCTAGAGCTCAAAACGACCGGTCGGGTCGTTACAGTTGTGATGCTAGTTTTAGCTTGTGAGCTTAAATATTTAGTAGCTTCAATGAAATGATGCCTAAGTCTGAGTCTTGATTTGCTTGAGGACAAGCAAAAGTGTAAGCTTGGGGGGAGTTGATTCGTTAGCTTTTTAGCTAATTGTTCTTATATTTTGATAGAATTTAATGCCCCATTTGTTGGAATAAATTGGATAATTATGCTTTGAATGGTGTATTTTCAGGTTTTGAAGTTGTGGGAGAACTTTGAAATTGGAGAATATCAAAAATGGGCAAGAAGTCATCACTTTAGAGCTAAAATTGGAGAAAATTTGAAGAAAAGGACTTAGGTAGACTGTTGGACACGATTGCTCCAACCGTTAGACACGGTTCATGAGAAGCCTGAAGACTTGAAGAAATGAAACTTCTGGAATTCGTTACGGTTCAACTGCATCTCACGGTTGACTTCACGGTTGGCCCAACAGGACAATTTTGTCCATTTTTGCTACTTAGTATATATAGCTATTTTAAGTCATTCTAGGACATCTTTTTGGAAGGACTTGTGTAGCAGCCGTTGGAGATTTCTACTTGAGGAATTTGGGTGACTTCACCATTGTTCTACACAATCTTTCTTTCCACTTTAGCTATTATATTTAGATTTCCATCTGTTTTTGTATTTTCCTTTTTTAATATGTCTAGTTAAGTTTATTTAGCTAGGATTGTCAACCCTAAGTGTGGTTATGTTTTTGGACTATTAATATTAGTTCTATATTTGATTAAGCTTTATGTTCTCTAATTACTCCATGCTTTATAGATTGATTATGTGGTAATCCATGCCTATTTTGCTTGTTCTAACTTGGAAGAGTGGAACTTAGCTTGGGTATAAGGTAATTAGCAAGAATTAAGTGGGTTAATCACTTGATTAATGAAATCTAACTAGGAATAGTGTGATTTCTACTTGGGCTAATCAATTGTTCATCATTAATTGAGCCTTAGTTGACTTGGAAGAGTAACTTGGGGTAAAAACCTCTTAAGTGTTGGAAGACATTAAGTTGGTGGAATAGAAATTGAGGCCATAACACATGCTTAATTAACTAAAATTGAACATTTATATACCCAAAAACATAGCCTACACGAAGGGGAAGCAATCCTACCGCCTTTTTCTTATTTGTTACAACTACATCATCTTATTTGCACTCTACGTGTTTGATAGAATTCCTTAGTCAAACTTTAGTAGTAATTGTACACATAATTGAACAACCACTCTTTGTTTGAATATTACATTAAGAATCATCGAGTTTGCACGCACTTGGACACTCTAACACACACCTACTCCTTGTGGGATTCGACCCCAACCTTTGTTGATTTTATTATTGCTGACGACCGTGCTACTTTCATATAGAGAGTAGGATTGGACGTCACCAGTTACCTAGTCTTAAAGATTGGGTACCGTCATGACATCCTACGGAGGGAAATTGGGATCTCGAAAGAAGCATATTATATTTAATCACTTCCTTGGTAGTAAGGATATGAACTATGTTACCCGCATGAGGACTGTTATCGTCGCAAGGTGATTGGAGAAGTTATTGTGGTGATTACTGGTTACTGTTCCTGTTAAGCCAAAGGTTCCTTATGCTAAAGGAGAATAGGTCGTTCCTTGACCGCATTGAATGCTGGGCCACTCGACACTCGTTGAAAATAAAAGTACATCGAACTTAAATGAAGTTTTATTATGAGCGAATTGTACCCATTGAGCAAACATAGGTTCAATCATGCTTTGCTTCTCTGTAAGTGTACCTTGGTTAGAGGGTAGTGATGTTAAGTGTTTGTCCTGATTTTTTCTTATCATATTTAATTTTTCTATCTGTTGAAGGAAAGAACAACATATTTACTATAATTAAGGTTTCCTTTTCGTAGAAGGAAATTATAAATTTCTATTTGGCTAGTCCCTTTTCTTGTAGGAAAAAAGTTTGACTTCTATAAATTGAAGATCATTCCTTCTCATTTATTAGCATCCATAATGTAGCCATATGGAGTTTGAGAGTCTTGTTTAGATGGAGAACTTTTTGGAAAAAATATTAGTGTGCCACTTGTGTTTGCTTTTTTGTGAGGTTCTTCTTTCGATGTAGGTCAATTGATCAAACCACGTTATATATTGTGTCTCTTTTGGTATATTTATCTTAAGTTGGATTTATCATTGTTCAAGTATTGCTTCACTAACTTCTGCATGACATTTGATTTTTTTGGTCCTAACATGTGAGTCTAATTTTATCTCGTTACACTACGCCAAAAAAGGTCCAATATTGATAACGACAAATGAATTGAAACGATAATTTGAACAATTGCACAAATTTCCCAAAATACAAGAAAAATAAAAACACAGTTACTGTATGAAGATCACACATATAGAAAATATGGCACTAGACTTATTGAGTTACTAAACTAGTGGAGAAGCAAACTCTAGGAGCTCTTTGTTACTCTGAAATGTTAACATATCAGCTTCTGTTAAAGTGATTAGCACATTTATCCCGTCTCCATTTGGGGGATCCAAGAAAATGAAGTTGTTCTTCATTGGATTTCTTGCAAGTGTCACTCTTATGGGCTCACCCCATCCAAAATCAATCTTATATACTCCTAAATTGCACAAGCTGCTGCACATATACAAATCAAATTTATTCTCCCCTGATTTGTTTGCTTGCTCTTTGACTTTTTCAAGTAAATGTGAGGCTAGCTGATGTGGATCCTTCGACTTGTCTTGAAGATATTGCTTAGCCTTACGTAGTTGAGCAACGAAGTGGGGCAATTGTATCTCATCTTCCGTCGCTGCTATCGAGCCAAAGAAAAAACAAGCGTTTCCAATGGTATTTTGGGGCAATGGGGGGCGAAAATTCATTATATGTAACAATAAAGATGGTTGAAACACGCTGAAATTCGCCATTGATACTGCCGCTCCACATTTATGAAGCAGTGCTGTGGCAACTTCAACTCGAGTTGGATTCAGCACATGTGAGTTCATTGCAACAATATCCTTGAGTGTGTCCAAACTAGAGGATGAGAAATGGTAGATTCTTGACACGCGTTGTTGAGGTTCACGTAGAATATCAGGCATAACCGCGGGAAGATCATTCATTGCCACTGGTGGGAAGAAAGAATGTGCATCAAATTGAGCAGATGGTTTGAAATCCAAGTCATGTCGAGTTGTAGCAGCCCAATCCTTGAGGAATTTCAAGAGACTATATCCATCAGCAATCTTGTGTGATAGGCATACACTGATTGCTATTCCACCACAATCGAAATGGCTTAATTGTACCACCAATAGACTTCCGTTTGAGTAACTACTACTCCAAGGCAAATCTTGTGGGAAGACAACATCACTAACATCATTGTAGGTGTGGTTGAGAATTTCAGACATCGGACAACTGATTCGGACATTGAGAAGCTCAGCACCTGTGTCATTGCAATCAACATATTCATAATTATCCATCATTCTTCCCGCAAAGGGATAATAAGTGGACAATACTTTTGAAAGGGAGTTTTCAAGAATCTGGCTTGTGTTATTTGTAGGTTTGGAGTAGAAGGCGACAACTGGAGAGTATGCACAAGTGGCTATCTGATCAATGAAAGAAAGATTGTGACGACTAAGGGAAGATGGGGTGGGGGAGAAGGGCTTGATCATCTTTCTGGAAAGAATCTTTGATTCAACCATTTTCAGCTCTTACGCTTTGTTATGTTTTTTTGGTACAATATACAATCGTTTCTGAAGAGCCCTTGCACTTCCACAGTTACATATATACAGAGCTCACCATCGAGTTTATAATTAAATGCAACGTGGAGGAAGATAGTAATTATTAAATCTCAACAAATTAAATACTAATTAGACCATTTATTACGATATATCTGGAGAAAATGACCTGCACTTCAAGTTTGTGTTTTGTCCTCCCACTTATTATCCACGTCTTGTAGCTTAAGGGGATACCATATGATCTTCTAATAATGCTAGAATGAGTTGTAGAAGGGACTAGTATTTATTAATTAATTAATTAAAAGTCAAACTGTGTCACGTTGTATCAATTAATGCTAGAATGAGTTGTAGATATGCATGGTTAATTGTTTTGTTGTATTTATAATTAAATTGATCGTGCCTAATTAATTAGATTTGCCCTCCCACTATGATTAACTTCTTGTCAACGAGAGATCATGATGTGGTATCAATGAATGCTGGAAAGGATTGTAAAATCTTAATTAAGTTTAATTTGTTGTTATCTTGAAAGTATTCATCCCAAGCCGTGCTACTAAACTAGGAATTTTTACCTCCTATAGCAAAGGTAAACACCTTATTTATTTTAAATAAATATCATTTTAATAAATTATATTATATAGATACCTTTTAATGTTTATAGCAAAATATCTAATTTTGGTTATCTTCTACCCCTAAGCCACTAAATACGCTATTTTTTATTCTTCTCTCTCCTTTTTCAGATTTTTCTCTCACATAATTACCGTATTTCACATAAACATCTCACTCCACGTTCTTTCTCTCTCTACTTTGATACATGCCATTCTCTTCCCTCATTCCCTGAAAACACGATGCTCGATCTCAAAATTCCTCTCACCCACATCACCTACCATTAGTCACAAATGGTGCTTTTGCCTCTTTCTCTTCTCGTATTTCTCTGTGTTTTCATTGCGATAGTGAAGGAATGATAACAATTGGAGTAATATATATTTGGGAAAAATACAACTCTTCCTGAACCTGCTTTGTGTTTGATCACTTCGCTTCCAACGGGATTGTGATGAAGTATGCTACTGCATCTTACTCTTATTAAGAGATTCACTTCACTTCGCTTCGCTTCCAACTGTAAATAATTTTTACTCTTGGAATAGATCACTTTCGCAGTAGCACTCTCGGAGATTCAGGGTTTTTGCTCGACGGCGGATTCGTCGGAAATTAAGGTTTGTTCTTGAACAAAGACGACGGAGTTAGGGGCGGAGCAACTTGATTTTATGTTAATATATTTCACTGTTTTTAACGTATCACGCTGTATTTTCATGTATTTCATTGTATTCATTGTCTTTTTTTCCATTGTTATTCTATGTATCTCGCTGTATTCCATGTATTTTATTGTATTCACTGTCTTTTTTTTTATTGTATTTCAATGTATCCCGCTGTATTCTATGTATTTTATTGTATTCACTCTCTCGATATATGCCATGAATGTATTCATATATTTTTTTAATTAATATAATTTATATATTCAGATATATTGTATAATTTCTCTAAAGATTGCTATATTTTTGGGGTATTTTTCGGTTGAGAATCTTTTTTATAACTGGAAATACAAAATTTATGTGTTATAATTGAGTTTGTTGAGTTATATTAGGAGTCTATTATGTTAAATGATTCACTTTTCGTTTAAAAACAGTGTAATCCCCTGTTTCACGCTGTGAATGCAGTCGAATACAATAATCTGTCCAGCTGTAATCCCATGTTTCACGCCATGAATACAGTCGAATACAACAACTAATTACCTGGACTTCCCTAATTCACGCCTATTTTTGCTACTATATTCATGAATACAGTAGCTTAAATACATCTAATACATCTTATAACAACAACAAACTTATCTACAATCCGTAATATAGCAAATGGTATCTATAGATAGCTAATTACCACTAAAACATAGTGCTTTATAAAAATTTCTCATTAAACTATTCCTCATGAGGAACATGGGCACAGTAATTATAATTAAAATTAGGCCAAATACATGGACAACCTCTTTAACTTGGCACCAATTTTTATTTTGGCACTCTATCTCATCCTTGTTTTATTTTGCACTCCAACCCCATTTTATATATTTCATTTTAACACAAAAAGTTGACACGGTGTGTTGCTCCCAAACGCACACGCAAGTATACGTGATCGACTAGTAATATAGAATTGTAAGTCCAGATATCGTCCCACAGGGACTTGTGATCAACTATTTACTAAATTAAGCTACGACAATTAATCTACTTAAGCAAATCCTAAAGTGTGGATATTTAACTAAAACTAATCTAGAGTAACAAACTAAGAGATTAAAGGAACAAATTGGCAATATTTGAGACAAATTCAATGAGAGACGATATTCTAGAGCTATGAGTTAGCTAACAATCCCGTTGAATTTTTCACTTAAATTGTCCAATTAATTTTTCTAGTTTATTGATTGATAGGGTTAATATTGCTCGTAGCCTACTCCCGAAGTACTACTCGCCTATTCAAGCTAACCTAACGCCTTTATTCCTATGGAATTAGGATTAACAAGAACGCATTTATAATTCCTGTATAATAACCAAGCAAGGCGATTAGATATATCCCTATCCTAACCGCAAATCCGTTCCCGATGCTCGAGTTCATATCTTGCTCTACTCAATCTTATATGCAATCTAGAATTCTCTCTTCCGAGTTCAATCCTAGATTCGTAGATAGTATTCAATTGGTGATCAAGCAATCAAATAAGCGCAAGATTGAATGAATAAACCAATATGATAAAATAACAAGAGCAATTCAAGTTTCAAAACACAACGTTCATGTAGCACCCAATAATTCTAGAACAAATAAACTATGAAACTAAAGAAAGAGAAGAGAAGAAAAACTAATTAAAAGCCTCCTCCAAGCGCGGTGTGTATTCCTACACGTGAATTCTCCTTCAAAGTCTGTTCGATCTCCTCTAAAATAGATTTAGGATCCCTTTTATACGAGTTTGGACTGTGTAGGAACAAAATAAACTTATTCCGGACAATAGGAAAAATCCCCGTCTCCGGCATCCAGTGCAGCGCCTCGCGCTGGTCCTGGCGCTAGATCCCGTGAGCTTTTCAATTCTTGCCACCTCGCTCTTAGCTCTTTAGGCTTAAGTGAATTCTGCCTAACATTTACTTCAATAATCTTTAATTTCTTCCAGGTGTCCTCTGTTCCCATCTTCACTTTTTAAATTCATGGATTAGTTTTCTTTTGTCCTCTCATGTATTTGTCTTCATGCTATTTTGTATTCTCAACATATATCAACACTTGTCACGCTTCGAATTATCCAAGTTCAACATTACAGTGGACGTGATGCATAGCTTTTGATTTCAACTTATCATATTTTGCTCCAATTTTCTTATCTAAAGTACCTACATTAATTATTCACATCCACATAAGTGTAAAACTCGATAATCAAATTAAGTTGGGCATAACATAATCAATATCAAATATAACCCAAAAACGATAAAAATGTGAGTAAATTAATATCGAAACATATCAAAATATGCCAAATATCATTGTATAAAAAGTAAAGAGCGTGTGTATAAAAGCTTCTGAGGTGTAATAACTATCCAATTAAATGTAGTCAACTAAAATGAATAATTTAGTTAATCATTCACCGATAGCTTGCCTGACGGCGGTGTTAGGCGCCATTACGAGCTTAGTGGATTTTGGGTCGTGTCAATTTTAATAAATATTTTTTCCACTTTTTCTCTTCTTTGGATCAGGCTACATAACTCGGGCCAGATACTCCGTCCCCCACACTTTCAAAAATTTCAGGTTAATCAAATACTCTTTTCACAACTAATAATTATTTCCTTCACCTAATACTTCAATATCAATCATAAACACTTCTAAAATTGGAGGACATTATATGTATCATATCTTGAGCCTATCATTTGCAAAATCCGTATCAATTTATGTACCTAACTTGGAGCACAAGATTTTTTTATGAGAATTGTTCATCGGGTAATTATAAGGTAGCAAGAAGTTATGTGTGTTGACATCTTCTATTCACAGCCTTCCTTCAACTGAGGCCTCTCTTGACCATAGAAGTTGTCCAAAATTGCTCAGATGACAACTGTAGAATTAAAGCATCGATCTCTGTTTAGTGCATCTTATCTTAGTAATTAAGTTGTTATGATGTCACATAACCGATGTAGAATTAATTACTTATGGGGTTTGAGCAATATTTTGATTCTTAATTTGATCATCTATTGTATTTGTATATAGGTAAAAATAGCACGGACTAGTCCGTTTTCGAACTAGTCATTCAAAAATAGCCAGCGTTTGCAAAGTCATTGAAAAATAGCCACTATTTTATGCAACACGGAAAGTTCCAGCATAATATAGTGGAGATCGGTGCACATGTGTATGAATTTCCAGCATATTATGCTGAAACTCCAACACGTGGAAAGTCCCGACATAACATACTGGAGATTGGAGCGCCTATGTATGAACTTTCAGCATATTATACTGGACCAATATATTATACTGGAAGTTCAATATACTATACTGGAGTATACTGGTTAACGTAAATAGTCGGATCCGTTAATGGGATGAAATAAGAACCATGTTTGATTTTTTGTCGCAAAGACCACGTGTCCTAGTAAAAAAAGCCACCTCATTAAATGAAAGACCGATTCATTCTGCCGTTAGACGCGAGGGTATTTTATTAATAAAATTAACGTGAGATATATTGTTGGACTGATAGATGAATGGAGAATATTTATAAACCATTTATCAAACGATAGGGGTAGTTTAGACTATTTTAAGTATAAAAAAGGAGCGCTAAACTGCTAGGTATGGCCTTGAAACATCCAAAGTGTGGCCCACGTGATTAGGAAATGGCAGCTTTAAATGCTGCAGTGAATGGGTGGCGTAAGACATTCAGGTGGGTCCCTGCAATTTTAGCAAACTTATCCTGCGTGTACAAGTGCTACAGCTAGGATGTATAATAAATATCTTTAAAGCAGGTAAGGTATGAAATTCCAAAACTATTCTTATAGTGAAACAGGCATGTTACGGAGAGCTGTTAAACTCTCACTTATAGAATAAGAGAAAGAGAATATGCATAAGGATACTATATTGGTCTATTATCAATATAATTGGACACAAAAAAACTTCTCAGTTATATTACGCAAGAAACAAATACAAAGCACACACGATTTTTGTTCAAAAGAAACAACAAAGGAACAAAAGCAATAACAATTAATTAAAGTGGATGCAACAAGCTCTTCAATTATTTTGCAGATCCAAATGCTAGCAGCTCTAGCTCATGTTCAAAAACTGACATAACGTCTTTGTTCTTCAAGCATATCCATGCGTCTATTCCACCACTATCTCTTGAATCCATCAATAAAACTTGATTTCTCGTAGCCATTTGAATTAGACTAAACCATGAAGGTTTTCCCCAGCCAAAATCAACATCATAAAATTGGTAGCCGCACACACTACTAATTTGCATCGCTATTTCGCCTCTGAAATGCGCTTCAGTTAGCTCCAAGAAGTCATGTGGAATGGCCAAAATTGCCTCCTCTCGATTTCGTTTATCTACATATTTGGAACTCAATTCTGATAATGATTTTCTAATACAAGTGACCAAGGTGGACAAGTCAGACCCATCCTTGTCACCTTTACATGCTGTGGCGATTGCAATAGCATTTCCTACACAATGGTTTGGCAATGGAGGGACAAACCGCTTTCGTATATTTACTTGGTGCGCAAGCTTTGATGACCTTGTCTCAGTCCCTGAAGCAGCCATGGCACTTTTCCAAATCACAGCTGATACTACTTCGACCCGTGTGGGAACATGTACATCGTCGCTCATGGCCTTAGCCTTGAGCGAGGCTATAGTTGAAGCATTAAAGGCAAACAATTTAGTGACATATTGCTCGTTATAAAAGAACTTGGTAAAGTCAAACTGAAACTTAGGCGCGTTTAAAACATAGGGAATAGGTGGTGGTAAGAATTTTGCAGTTGCGACGAATTCTGGTAGTAGCACACAATCGGCGCTATCTCGAGTAGTTATTGCCCAAGCATTGGCAAGGGTGCACAACGTAGCTCCATCAGCAACTTTGTGAAAAGCACACATACCAATAGCCATACCTCCACACTTGAAAAAGGTGACTTGAACAAGTAAAGGAATACAAGAATAATGTAATACTGAGCTACCTTCAACACTAGGGAGGAAATGTTTAGTTACGTCAAAATTTCTATGAATATCTTCAAACTGATAATTATGAGCAAAAGCCTCGTAAAAAGGTACCCCATCGTCGTTGCACTCAATTAAGTAGCCCTTAATTCGACCAGCAAAAGGGTAAAAACGTGCAAGTGTTTCAGACAAAGATTTCTTCAAAAGAAGTAATCTTGATGAATTGGCTGCCCTTGCTTCCTCATAGGAATAGGATTCATCGCTGCCAGTCGAATGAGAAGGAGGAGGAGGATAAAATAAAGCTAAGGGAGCAAATACAGGTATTGCCATTTGATCCAAATAAGAAAATCCAAAGCATTTAAGGTGATCAGGAGTGGGAGAAGTAGGTCGAATGAGCTCCATTGAAACTATCTCAATCTTTCTTTCCATGCCTAACTTTAGTTTGGCTACTTTTGTCTTTGGTTGTTGCGCTCCAATTATATATATAGTGATGTATCAAGTATGTGTTTTGCCCTCTCATCTATTATCACCTTGCAGTCTATGGTAGATGGGGTGCCATATGATATTCTAGCTTTTATTTTTATAATAAGTACTCCCGTTTCAGTTTATGTAAACCTATTTTCTTTTCGGCCCGTTACAAAAAGAATGACTCCTTTCTAAATTTGGAAACAATTAGCTTAAACTTAATGAGAAGCTTTTATAACCACACAAATACTCTGGGCCCCTTTTTAACTTGTTTAGGATCACAAATTCCAAAAGTCTTTGTTTTTTCTTAAACTCCGTGCCCAGTCAAACAGGTTCACATAAATTGGAACGGAAGGCGTATCATGTATTAATTGCTCGAATGAGTTGTAAACGGTTGTCTTATTCTTAAGTTGATCCTGGATAGTCACCGAGAGATGTGATTTGGATATGTCGATCTACTAGTTTAATCTTTCTGATCATCAAGCTGATTAATTAATAATACTAGTAAACGAGCTAGCACGACTGTCACGAAAGATAAAACAATTAAAATAGCATATTCAGAATTCTCTATGGGCCACCTTTCTCAGAGCCAAATATTGCAAAAGATCTCATCCGGTGCAGAGGCGAAATTAGGATTTTAAGTGTATGAGTTCTAAATTACAAATACAGGGTCTCGGAAAAAGTCACTGGATTTTCTTCCACTGTAGCTCTACTGTAGACATATGAAAGTTTTCTTCTTAATTAGGGCATAAGTATAGCAGTAAGTGAAACATGACTCCATTCCAACAAATAAGCAAATCAAGAGTAAGGGATGATGCAGTTAGACGTGACCCAAATGCCAAAAATGAATACTCGAAAGAGATCTTGGCTAACCTCAATCGCTAGAGCTATTTTGGAATTGCTGTTTTTGTGTGCGGAAGGGCTGCTTTAATAGCATTTTTAAGGTGATTTACGACTGTAAAAGGGGGATTTTGGGAGCTGATTTTTGCTGATTTTGTGGGAGTTTAATGGAGTTTTGTAGCTGAAGTTTGGGGTGTTTTGGAGCTGGAGTTTGAGGTAGCTTCCATGGAGAAAAGCTATTGATTTTCAGTTGAGTAAGAAGGCTCCTTTAACGGTGGAAAATAGTATTTTGTTGTTGGAGAGGAAGGAGTTGTTGCGCCTCTTTTCATCTAGGGTTTTTTTTAATCTCTTGGCAGATCCCCAACTTTTTTGATTTGGAAGCTGAGAAGATTAGCAAAACCCCAACTTTTTTGACTCAGACGTTAAGTTTAAGGAAAAAGAAGACTTTTGAAACTTGTGGTCTTAAAAGTTCAAGGGGTAAAAGCTTTGTGGGGCCATGACATTTGTGTGGTTTTAAAAGATTCTCATTAATGGTAAAATAGATAAAATAAAGATTTTAAAGTTGCATTATTTCCAATTGTAGAAATATATCATTCTTTTTGGAACGGAGTGTGTCATCTAAATTGAAACAGATGGAGTATATAGTTTGCCCTCCCACTATTATTAACTTGTAGTCAACGAGAGATGTGATTTGGATTTGTGGATCTGCTTGTTTAATTTTTCTGATCATCAAATTGCTAATATTAGTAAACGAGCTAGCACGACTGTCACGAAAGATTAACTAATTAAATAGCCTATCTAAATGAACATATCAGATTGTCGGTTAATCTAACAGCATATCATTAATTCTTCTACTTATATGTTTATATAAATCAACATGTTTATGATCTCACAGATAAATATTCAATACACATATCGCACAGCTGTAGTGCCATAACACTAATTAATCGAGATTAAACACACATCCAGACACCAGCGAAGAAGACAAAAGCAAATAATTAAACAAATGGTAATGCTTAAGCAATATTTTACACATTGTTATAAGAAAAATTAAATTATGGTGGATGTTTACTCTTCTGCGTTATCTCCATAATCTCCCCCATGATCTTACTCTCAAATGCTTAATGACATATTCAATGACATATTTATGTAGTGACTATTCCACTCAATAGTGGCCATTTCTCTCAATAGCGGTGATTCCACTAAATAGTGGCCATTCCACTCACTATTTTACAATAGTGATTCTTAACTTTTCATGCCTATATAAAGGCCTTGTAATAGATATAGGAAATATAACACAATTGAAGAAGGGAAATTTTCACAATTACTTATGGATTCAAAAAATATTCCATAATCTACAACTATAAATGAAATTTCATATTCTACAACTTAAACATGATAAAAGTAACATTTTAAACAAAGTTCCTCTCTAAAATGGCGATTCTCTCTCTCGGTGCATGTTAACTAAATTGCGCCTACCATGGGTAAGAGAGCATGTATCCCGTCTCAGAGAGCATTAATGGCGAAGGAAGCAGCGGAATTACGTAGCAACAATCAACGAGGAACTAAAGGAAGTGTAACAATAACTGAAAATTCTGGAGATGAACAATTGAGCCCTAATGTCAATGGAATAGTAACAAAAATGCCAGGAAATGAGAAGCAGAAGGAAATTAAAGCAGTTCAAGTATGGGAAGAAGTTCAGAAAGCATCAACAAGCAGTAATCCAACGATGCGAGTGATGGAAGGAAATCATGGGCCGATGAGGTAGATGAGATGAACAAAGTACAGGGGAAGAAGAGTTCAGTGTGGGATAACTTTGATATTACAAAAATATCAAATGCTGGGTACAAATTGGAATAGGTCCAACCGAAATCGACAGGTGAGATTCATTTTGTTGAAACTGAGTTGGATGATATAAGTACAGAAGTTGAGTACTGGAGAAATGTTGTGATATGTTATGTGTTTGGGGCTCATCCACCATTTGCAGTAATTCAAGGTTATATACAGAGGTTGTGGGAGAAACATGGGGTTGATAGGATTGCAATGCTAAAAATGGTGTAATTGTTGTTAGATTTGATACTGCAATAGGGAAGCAAGAGGTAATTGAGGGTGGCATATATCACTTTGATAATAAGCCTCTTATTGTCAAAGCTTGGACACCTGAGCTGGAATTCACTAGGGAGGAACTCTTGACAGTACCAATTTGGATTACATTACCAGATTTGGACTTCAAATAATGGAGTCAAAAAGGGCTAAGTAAGATAGGAAGTTTGATTGGAAAACCTCTAATAGTGGACCAGAACACAGAGAAGAGGATCGGATTGAAGTTTGCAAGGCTGTTGGTGGAGGTTGAAATGAATATTAAATTACTTGATGTGGTGAAGTTTAGGAATGAAAAAGGCAAAATAATAGAGCAAGAGGTTAGTTATGATTGGAAACCATCTTTGTGCAATCATTGTTTTAAGTATGGGCATGAGGAAGATGTGTGTAGAATTAAGAAGAAATTTCAAAAGATTGAACAGATGCATAAAGAGAAGTTGGCAGATACACAGGTGGAGAAGCAAGGTCAAGGGCAAAAGGAAAACAATGCAAACCTGAAGTTCAGAAAGCAAATGGAACTGAGAAGAGATATGATGCAGGGAAAGGAGCAGTAGGGAGAACACAACAATATGTAGTTAAGAATCATGGGGCACTAAAGGAAAGAAATGAAGAACAAGACTGGCAAACACCTAATAAATATGGTAAGACAGTGGTGAGGCAGATGGAACAAGTGGAGCAGTCTAACTCATTTCATATACTCAACAAGCAAGAGGAACTTAATTTGATCAAAGAAGGGGGGGGGGGGTAGGGGAAGGAAGTAGTGTGGGTGGTCTAAGTATTCCTCACAATGGGGATGGTTAGTCTACTAAGCTGGAATACAAGGGGGCTTAATGCTCCTAATAAGCAAAAGGAGATTAAGCTCCTTTGCAATGAGGAAAGAGTAGGTTTGATAGGCTTACTAGAAACAAAAATCAAAAAAGAGAGAATGGAGAAGGTAGCAGAAACGATGTTTGCAGGATGCAAATATGTAACAAACCTTGAATGTCACTATAATGGTAGAATCTGGATCACTTGGAGGCCAGATTACTACCAGTTAAATCCTAAGAAAAAAACTGCTCAATTAATAACATGTGAAATTCTGTATGTACCACTAAAGCTAGCTTTTGAGGTAACATATGTTTATGCTTTTAATACAAAGGAAGAGAGAAGGGGACTGTGGGAAGATTTAATCAATCATAGTAGAAGATGTAGCAAACCATGGATGGTAATAGGTAATTTCAATGCAGTGTTGAATGCAGATGACATAATAGGTGGAAAGGAAGTGCCATGAGCTGAAGTAGTGGATTTTTACAACTGTATAATGGAGTGTGGATTAATGGAATTGCCAGCATAAGGGAATAGGTATACCTGGAGTGACAAACATGAGGAGCATAGAATATTCTAAAAAATTCATTAGATTTTTATCAATGATCAATGGCTTACTACTATGCCAGAGTGTACTGCCAGATTCCTGACTGAAGGAATTAGTGATCATTGTCCTGCTAAGGTGACATTTGTAGAAGAGAGGCAAAGAATCAGAAGGTCTTTTCAGTTTTGCAATGTTTGAACAAAGCATTCACAATTCATGAGGATAGTCAAATAAGGTTAGCAAATTAATCTGGAAGGGTGCAAAATGTTCAAGGTTGTTAAAAGGCTGAAGCTGTTAAAGAAGGGACTAAAAGCATTAAATACACATGCTTTTAATAACATAGTGACAGAAACAAATGAAGACAGGACTAATCTAAAGAAGGCTCAAGAGCAATTGCAGAGAAGACCCTTAAATATGGAGTATCAACAAGCTGAAGTTAAAGCATATCAAAAGTTTAGGAAGTCATCCTACTCAGCTGAAGTATATTTACAACAAAGGAGCAAAGAAACATGGATAATATTGGGAGATGATAATACCAAGTACTTTCACTCAGTAATCAAGCACAGGAAACAGAAGCAGGCAGTTACTCAGATAAAAGACAGCTCTGGTAATTGGCTAACAGATCCAGATAGAACTGCAGATACCTTTGTTGAGTACTATGAGAATTTACTAGGGAGGACAGCAAGTGACAGAGTGATGACCTTCAGTAGTATAATCAGAAATGGAAGCAGATTATCAGAAGCACAGCAAGATGAATTAATGCAACCTTTCTTGGGAAGGGAAGTAAAGCAAGCTATGTTCCAGATAGACAGCAATAAGAGTCCTGGTCCAGATGGATTTGGGAGTGGTTTTTATAAAGCAGCATGGCCAATATTGGGAGGAGATATTACTGAAGCAATATTGGAGTTCTTTCATAATGGAAGATTGCTTAGACAGATAAACACCACTAACATTGCTTTGATACC